CTTTAACAACACTAATTATTCTGCTGCCAAAGCAGAAACATGGCAAATTGTCCCTAAGCAGCCTACTGACACCTCCCCTGTCCCCCGAGAAAACCAAAACCCTAAACCAGTTTACCCTGAGGGCAGGGTGAGGCAGGCAGCCTGTGGTTCTGGTGCTGTGACCTGCTGAGGGGAGAAGAGGTGGGACAGAAATGTGCTGGGCCAAGAACAAGCTGCTTCTACAGTAAAGGACAGAGTGCATTCTCAAACAGGATGAATAAATCGCAGGTGCTGCAGCTCTCGCCCAGTTCTCAAGTTTTCACAGTCAGCAGAGCTGAAGAGGGTGCTCCTGAGAAACACCCGGAGCTGTGGAAGCTGCTGGAGATGTTGGGTCAACACCACCTTCTGGTGAGGCAGCACAGGGCACCCAGGTCTGAGCTGAAGCTCCGAGACAACTGAAGCTGCAAGGTAAAGCCTTAGGGACTTTGTGACTGAATTTGGAAAGAAGAGGCATGAAGATAAAATGCCAATGACAGCTACAGGAGAATATACGAGCGCGAGAGCACAGCGATGAGAAAGGCCTGTGGAGGTCTGGGCAGTTTGGGTAAATATTGACACGTCTCTCTGGAGCAGAAAACGTAGCTCTACTGCCCCTAAAGCATTTGTAATGACTGCATGAAGTATACATCTGCTGCGTTAGGCTGAGGCTAGAGGAAAGATACTGTAGCCACCTCATCTGCTTCAGGACAAGGCTCTGAAGACGTATTTAAACAGGACTTTCAGGGAGTACAGCTTGTGTGAGAAAGAAGGATGCACTGGTACATAAATCTGAGCTAATCCCAAAGAAAAGGTGGGGCTAGTGTCTTTTGAGAACTGGCCACTTGTTAGTGGGAATACCTTTAGGGAAAAGATGCTGAAGTGGAAACCAGTCACGCACCTTGTAGAATGGAAGAAAAGAGCCAGAAGTTCTGGAGCAAAAAAAGAAAAAAAATGGATATTTGTGATTTCCATACAATTTAGGCCTGGGCAGGACTTCACAGCAGAAGCTCTTAGTATCAGAACCTCAGCCCTGATGGCCCTGATTTCCCACAAAATCCCATTTTGGCAACTCACCTTCCTTTTTTAGACCTCATCTCTCACAGATACCAATTCTGAACGAGCTTGGGAGTGGCTCTTAAACCCAGCTGAAGAAGGGTTACCTTGCCCAAAGCCTATGTTGCTAATTGAAGACTTGAGTCTCGGTCCTGTGGCCTCCATTTTCAAAGATTCAGTCTAACGCATCCTAAATTAACTCACCAGGCAACAGAGTATGAAATCGGACATGACCGATCGATCCTTGAGCATTGATTCAAAGCGAAACTAATGGAATGTAAAGAAAATGTAAGAATCTATCGCATTGTAGAGGCTGCCTATTTAGCCATTTTACAAAATAAAATTTCATTTGGGAACTGGGTGGAGGCATAATGTTTGAAGAACCAACTAAAACAAGGCATAGGGACATTGCAAACTGCTGCTGTACAGATTGAGCCTCGAGGGAATGGCTTTGTTAGATGCCACTGACTAAAATAATTGCATGATAATTTTGGCTAGAGGCACCATCCTATCATCTGGTGATTTTTAAACTGTGAACGGATAGTTTAGACTGAGTGATCTTGGCATCCAGCTACAAAGAACCGAGAAGTCTGCTCAGCGTACCACGTCTATGCTTTGGCTCCTGGGGAAAAAAAAAAAAAAAAAAAAAAAAAGATGTCCTAGCACTGTCGAAGGAAGGTCTCTGAGCTGTAGCAATCAGCAGCGCTGCGTGCTCCTTCTGCAATGCTCTAAGATAAACTAACCAGGGGCTTTCTCCTAAGGTAAGCAGCAGAAAATTATTCCTCCTAGAGCAGTATGGAGCAGGCAGGTCCCTGTTAGACTCGAAGTAATGCAAATTAAACCCAGGAGTATTTGCATCTTAGCATTTAACTTTTTTTAAAAAGAATTGTAAGATTTAGCTCTGCTTTTTCAAATCACAGCTGATGAAAACCTGGCATAAATTTAATAGAGAAGTGATTTGAGTAGTGGCAAATGATCAAATGAACTTTAAAATAAAGAAGTAACAAAAACAAGAAATAAAGAAACTTCCTCAAAGTTAAATGTTGCATTTCCATCTGCTTCTGATTACAAGCATGATTTTTTATTGTTTGAAATAACCATGTAAAAATATTTAGACGGACACAAAGGTAGTTGGCTGGTATAATGAGAAATGTCTCAGGTATGTACTATCTGTACTAAAAATTGTGTATTTCTAATATACTAGGCTAGTGTACTAGAATATTAGAATTTCTAGTCTAGGCTGGAAATAATAGTATCATTGATGTTTGAGATTACTCTCTTACAGTCAACTGAAATTACTCTGTCACACAGAACTCAAATAAGACCAGGGAAGGGAAAGATGAAAAAATTGGAACCACATTGCTATGACAAGGTTGTAAAGTAATTTGGGCTGATTTCTTAGAAACTCTGGCCTTCGTGGCTCTAGACTAACTTCTTTACTTTATACACAACGTTCACCATGTCAATATACTGTGGTTCTACCAGTGCAGATTTGAGGTAAAGTGTCTTGGCATAGTAAGCTCACTTGCTTACATAATAAGCTCACTACAGAGTGAATTAGACCGCTCCTACTACTACTGTCCCCTGTGAGACAGAGTTGTTTAAATACTGGTAGAAACAACTTAAGAAAGAAACACACCTGTAGAGTCAGAGTGATATGTTTATGTTCCTCTTCTTGTCCTCTCTTACCCCGAATGGTTGCATTCACTTTCTGTTCCAAATGGGCAACGGTAATTCCAACAGCTGGAGGAATGCTGGCGTGTCATCTTTGGGATTGAAACATGCCTCTTTTCCCTTTTGTTCCTGCATTTGCATTTTAACATCTCACTTGGGGTGTTTTTTTTTCTGCAGAGTCTATTAGTTTCGGTGCAGAATCGGCCATTTTCAAGGCAGCAAATATATCCAAAGCTCCTTGGCTTAACTGTTGTGTTGCTGTCATTCAGTCACCTTTCAGGGCAAGTGGCACAGAGCAATCAGCAAGTGTCACCCCCTTGTACTTGGCCTCTTGAGTTCGCTCGGTTTGGGAGCTTGCTCTGTGTAAACCTCTACTTCTTTCTTTACTGAAGGTGAGATATTCTGTGAGAGCGCTTCCGAGCTTGGAAAAACAGATTCAGCATCATTAGCTTGAGGTGTAACATTTTCCAGTAAACATCTCCACATACGAAGATCTTTAGACCTCCCAACCTATGACATTGAAACAACTTGATATCTGCTCTGAATAAAATCTGTATGGAGTCAGAAGAAAGATCTGACATTGTTCTTTAAAGATAAGGAAAATGGGCTGTGATAATCCTTGCTGACTTTGTTTTCCTATATCTTATTTCAATGATACACATGGGAAGGAAGGAGTGGGGAAAGAAGATATTCCAGGTGCATCACAGCAACTAAGAAATTGCTTGACTGGCTAGGTTTCCTCAACCAGTTCCCTGTGCCAAAAGGGAAGTACATTGTGTACATTCAAATTTGCAAAAAACCCCCTCGAAACACAGAAATGTAATAATAGTCTGTAGGATGCCTATGGAGAGAATGACTGCACTGTTGGTTAAAACTGAAAATCTTTACCTGAAGTGTGGATACACACAACCTCCAAGCAGAATCGTAGTACATGGGGTCATATCATAAACCATAACCAAGCTATACTGATAATGGTGAGATCACCCATCTGTGCTATCAATTAAAACTGTGTAAGATTTTGGTTACAGCAACCAGCCACTCTAAAATAAAAAACAACATAGAAATTGCACTTTACTAAAGGTTGTTGGCTTAGCGGAATTTACGAAGTTTTGAAAATACAGTAGCATAAAAAATTTAAGCGTGAACTCTAAGGTAGATATGATCCCAATTGCTTTCAATATTTTATTACAATGTTAGCAGAAAGAATTCCAGAGACACAACACCGACTGTGCAGTGTGTTCACAAATAAACAGACAAATACCTTACGTTTCAACTCCCCACATTACCTGAAGCTCCTGAATAGTTTCCAGAGAAGTGGCTTGGAAATCAAGTACCTGGCAGCAGAACATAGCACAATTTGCTGGTGAATCAAAGAGCTTCTGGGCAAGAGGTAGTTAAAAAGATGATCTCACGCTCACAGCTAAAAACCTCCATGTCATTCCATTATGTAATCCCTGTTTTGTTTATCTCGTATGTTGAAATTTATAATTAAGACAAAGTCTTGGTGACTCAGTACAACTTTAAATGCATAAAATTAAAGATTTTAATCCTAGAAGCACTCTTAATTTGTTAACATTATCCTAGAACTGAGACCATTTACACAGGTACAGCTATGGGTAAATTAGCTATGTAATTGTAGTTTTAGGACTCCAAGGGAGAAACATGTGGATTGTTACCCTGGTAGATGTGAAAATTTTGGATGGATGGCACTAATAATGCTACTACCTTGGGGTACAAATGAAACATTTTTCTGTCACAGTTACAGGATACTTCTCAAAACTTATCAAACAAACAAAAGCCATGATCCTTATATGTTGTTCTCGTTGTTTTTCACCCAAAACTGTGGGAAGGCCACAGGCTGTGGAATGGAGTGGGTATAGAATTCAACTATAGACGGCAAAGGATTTGCAAAGTGGAAAAAAAAAATTGTCGTCTTTCCTAGCAGGAAGAAAATAGTGTAAAACTGTAGGCAGTTAAGAAGTACTGTGGCTGAAATCAGTCTCTCTTAAGCTTAAAATATTCTCACATTTTATTATTAACCAACAATCATAAAGTCTGCCTTCATTTAAAGACCGCTCAAGTAGAAAATAATGATGAACTTCTAAGAGCTCTCCTGCTTTCAGAAGAATGTATATGAAAGATCACTATTTAAAAAAAAAAAAAAAAAAAAAAAAAAAGCCCATTTCCAAAAGAAATCCACTACTGTACGAAAATGACATACATTTTTTTTGTATTTCAGATACGAATTTCTGACCATGGGGGACTGGAACCTGTTGGGCAGCATCCTTGAAGAAGTGCACATCCACTCCACCATAGTCGGCAAAATCTGGCTGACGATCCTGTTCATATTCCGGATGCTGGTGCTAGGAGTGGCTGCCGAAGATGTCTGGGACGACGAGCAGTCCGAGTTCATCTGCAACACAGAGCAACCCGGCTGCAGCAACATCTGTTATGACAAAGCCTTCCCCATCTCTTTGATCAGATACTGGGTACTGCAGATCGTGTTTGTGTCTTCTCCATCGCTCGTTTACATGGGCCACGCGCTCTACAGGTTAAGGGCTCTCGAGAAAGAGCGGCAGAAGAGGAAAGCCCGCCTGCGGGCTCAGCTGGAGGATCTGGAGCCCTTGCCTGAGGAGCACAGGAGGGTGGAGAGGGAACTGCGTAAGCTGGAGGAGCAGAAGAAAGTGAACAAGGCACCCCTGAGAGGGTCCCTGCTGCGCACCTATGTCCTGCATATCCTGACCCGCTCGGTGGTCGAAGTGGGCTTTATGATAGGTCAGTATCTTTTATACGGGTTTCACATGCCCCCCCTGTACAAATGCACTCGGCCCCCTTGCCCTAACACGGTGGATTGTTTTGTGTCCCGACCCACAGAGAAGACCATCTTCATGGTTTTCATGAACAGCATCGCCGCCGTCTCCCTCTTCCTCAACATCCTCGAAATCGCCCACCTGGGCCTCAAGA